ATATATATATATATATTGGACATGAAGTGGAATTTTGTTATATGTTGTGTTACAGTATGATTGGTTCAGAATTTTTTCAATCAGTTATCATGGCAGGGTAGGTTGCTGAGAACTAGAGAGGAAGAATTCAAAAACTGATAATTAATAATATAAAAAAAAAGTATAAATTTTATTGCTTTGATATATGTATTCATGTCAGTAATGGTTTTTCGTTTTCTTTTTCGCTGAGTTATTAATCTTTGGCTTTTAATGCTGTAACAGCATGCGTATGTTATTAACGTTATTTCGTTCTTTGGTCAATTGTATTTATTTCTCACATTAAAACTTAGTCTTCAAAATCAAATTTCTGTTATCTAAGCTTTTATGTTGCTATAATACCACTTCATAGGTCACCATAGCATATTTTTACGTCAAAATAACTCTTCTTAACCAAAATTTATTAATCGAAGTGTTTTAATATCCATAGTCTTTAATCAAACACACATGTTCGATTTATTAAAAGTATTATTGGTGTAAAAATTGTCTTTGTAATATTTCAGTTGTATCTAAGATTTTTTTTTCTTTTAATGTTCGGAAAATGAAAAGAGAAGAAAATTTTGCTAGTAATAGGATTAATGGAAATCTCATTTATTACTTGTTTGCCATTTTTTTTTCATGGATAATTAAGTAATTTTTATTTTTATTTTTGATAATGATCATTGTCAATTGCAGTCAGGGAAAGTGTACTTTCAAAGATACAACACTTTAGATTCACCTTTGGTGTCTGAACACAAGTCCCAAATGAATCAAGCAGGTCCAAAACTTCAAGACCTAAATTTCTCTCCCTTTTCATCCAAATTGTCCATGAACCCTTTCAATGAATCAAGTTTGGACTTGAAATTGGTTTCACCTTCATTGCCATCAAGCACTTATCAAAGTGTGTGCACCCTTGACAATGTGAAATCAGCACTTGAGAGAGTAGAGAAAGAGCCAACAACAAGGAAAAGGGCAACACCCTTAAGATCTCAATATTTGTCATCACCATGTGCCTCATATTCCTCTTCATCCTCTTCCATTAGGGAAACTCAAGAGGAAGAATTTGAAGGGAAGTTGTCTTCACCAATGGCTGCAGGGTGCCCTGGTTGCTTATCCTATGTGTTGATAATGAAGCACAATCCCAAATGCCCTAGGTGCAATTCTCTTGTTCCTTTTCCATTGATGAAGAAACCTAAGATTGATCTCAATATATCAATTTAAGATGTTGGTGCCAATTATTAGTTATTGCTTCAATTCTTATGTTCTTGTTTTCCCTCATTTTTGTAAATGAAATGATGGGTGATTTTAGGTTTCTCAAGATAGGACCATTTGTTTAGCAATGTTAGCCATAGTGCTTATTATATATGTAAAATGGAAATCATTCCAATTTTACTACCAAAGTTAATAGAATTTTTTCTTATTTGTGTCATTTCTCTTCAAATTTTCCTTCTTTCTTATCTTTAGGATTAACAACATTCATTCCTCTAAAGAATTTTATGTATCACGAACAAAATGGTTAAATGAATAACTATTAAGATCAACTATTATTAAATATATCAATTTTATATAATTTTCTTTGAATAGTTCGTTCTTTTAATAAATATATAATTTTTAATTGTGATGGTTAAATAATTTATGAAGATAAAAATTAGAAAAAAAATAATTAATATTATATTAAAAAGTAAAAACATCATTTATTTTAAAATATTTTACAAATGCTAAAATTTATTTTAAAATATTTTACAAATATTAAATCTATAGTCATTGTGAAAAGAGAGTAATTAGTTTCCAATAAATTTATAATTTTTCTTAATAGATAAAAAATTAAAGGCATATAAATATCTACTAAGATTGAAAGATAAACAATTTTAAGGAAATATTCCAAAAATTATATGTCATAATAGTTTAAAGATGCATTTTTCTTAAGAATATTTGATATCAAAATTTGGTGTATATTTCTTTCTAGGATTATTTGACGCCCTCTCTGAAAAAAAAAAGCTAATCTGATTAAAAAAGTTAATTAAATGTATTTAATTTTCATAATTTCATTAAAATATGCATTATATATTTCTTAAGATATTTTTAATCACATTTATTGTAAATGATGCTTCCACTTATTATCTTAGAAGTATTTTTTATTAAAATATTAAATAAATTTGACTTAATTAAAATTTATTTATATTTAAATTTAAAATTTTTATTTAATTATTGCTTATAAGTAAATTCATAGAGAGTGCTTTATCTTCGGTCAACATGAAATAAAACCCCAAATCAAGTCAACGTCTGCCCTGAAATTTTGGACACCGCTTGAATTGAGAAAATGATGTTGTCATGATCATTTAATATAGTCTCTGCATTTTTTCTTAAAAATCATAAATAATCAATTCATGATCAAGGTCAAGGATCTTTACAAAATTTATTTTGATAAAGTTAAATTAAAATTATTTAATCTACCTTGTGATAGGAGATCGCAAATACGATTTTAACGACTTGACTTAACAAATGCAATGGTAAAATGCATAAATATATTATATTATACGTTGTGCATGATTTATAAAAATAATTAAATGTCTAAAAAAAATTAATATCATAGAATTTGATTTTAATTCAGCTTTTAAAACCTTACTATAACTTTTAATTCTTTAAATAAATTTTACCACTAAAATCATAAGAATTATTCTATTTTAAATAAGTCTCACGATCAAACATAATTTTAAATCCTTATCAAATATAAACGTGCTATAGTACTTAAATATTTTATTATGTGAATTTTTTATTGTTAAAAAAGAATACCTAATTAAGAGAAGGTGAATTGATTATTTAAAAATTTCTTACAAAGAAGCTCACTTCGAGGTTCATTGGTCTTTACCAGATCTTTCGTGGTGTAGGTCTGGTAGGCCTCCGGTTCTGTCCAACTTGCATGATGTGTTTCAAGTACATCAGAGACCTAAGTCATGTGGTAGAGATGGATGAGGTGCAAGTTAGAGAGAACATGACCTATGAGAAAAGACCGGTAGTTGTGGTTGATCACAAGTTGAAGGAGCTTCGTGGTAAGTCCATCAGCTTGGTGAAGATTCTTTGGGATGCAGCTATTGGTGAGGCAACCTTGGAAGTAGAGAGTCAGTTCAAGGAACAGTATACATTCGTCTTTTCAGGTAAGTCTATTTTCGGGGACAAAAATTCTTGTTTGTTGGGGGTATTGTAACGTAGTAAGTTATTTTAGAAGGCCTAAAAGCCCAGTATGGGTGATTTAGTAGCCTAGAACGGGCTGTTCCCAAACTGAAACAGGCCGTTCCAAACTACTAAATTGACCTATAAATCATACTTGAGAACGGGCCGTTCCAAACCCCAGAACAGGCTGTTCTGGATGGAGTACGGGCCGTTCTGGATGAGTCCCATAACGAGCTGTTCTGGTTTCAGAACGGGCCGTTCTGCATGTGATTTTTGCACATGATGAAGGGATGCAGAACGGGCCGTTTCGGATTCGAAACGGGCCATTCTGGCCACTCCTGAACTTCTATAAATAGGAATTGTGTGGTTGAGGAGAAAGTGAAGTTTTTTTAGAGAGAAGGTCTCTGGGTCTGTGAGCTCCTTTCTCTCCCAAATTTCTCTATATGATTCTTTTTCTCCTCTAGATCACTAATGTCTTCTGTCTTTTCTTGAAATTCATACTAGAAAGTTTGCTTTTGGTGGATTGAAGTTTCGGGTTGAGCTTCAGAAGGAAATTTTACTTCTTAGTTCTTGGCCATTTTAAGCCAATTGTCAAGTAAGGGAAGCTAGAATGTTTGTTGTTTAGGTTGCATGTGAGTTTAGAAACTCAATTGATGCATGAATGTTGAGAATCCATATATGAATTGAAGAAAATCTCATTTTTGGGGTTTTGAGAACAATGAGGGTTTTGATGATTTTGATGCATAGGATGGATGCATGTGAGATTTAAGTTTATTTTTGAGTTGTATGGAGCCTATGCATTGTGTTTTGTGTTTGCATGTGGCTGGATTTGTTGGTTTGGATGAGAGTTTTGAAACTCTCTAACTGGGATTAGGTCGGGCGTGCTCAGGCTGCGCAGGGCGTGAACATGTTTATTTGTGATAGTTGAAATGATGTTTCAGCATGTTTAAAGTTGAAGTTTTAGATCATGTATGTATGATATATGATGTATGTTGAGGTGTGATTCATATGTATGCTTGGTAATGATATATATGAATGTATAAATATGATATGACATGAGTATATGTTCATATGAGTATGATTGTTGATCATGATGGTGGGTAGACCATGTATGATGTATGATGTATGATGTATTATTGCATGTGATGCCTTGTGGCATGTGTATGATTGTTGATCATGATGGTGGGTAAACCATGTATATGCATTATTGCATGTGATGCCTTATGGCATGTGTCTAGCCTAGGACTTGAGGAGAGGAAAATATTTTCGAACTGGAAGAGCTCACATAGAGTCTCTTGAGAGTGGTGCTTGGATAGGCCACTGATATATGAGAGTGGTGCTCAGGTAGGCCACTGGGTTGGGTGAGTCTCTCTAAGTCCTTAGCTAGTGTTGGAGCGGGGTATGAGGTTGAGGGTTATTCCCTTAACCAAGTACTCGGGAAGGTGTGTGGATCCTTGTAGATAGTCGGTGGGCGAACTCCATAATTAACTTGGTAATGCATGCCAAGGTCGTGGTAATCCTGTACCCAGCTGTGCTATACCTGACGGTGGGTCTGGACTTCCAATTGTGTAAGTGACATCATCAGAGTAAACCCGAGTGAGGATTATATCCTGTTTAGCTATGACCGAACGGGCGCATTAGGTGTGAAAACGATTGGGGTGGTTTCAGTAGGATGGGATGTCACTTATACTGCTCTGTTGTTAGGGAGATCTCCTAGGTGTATGCGTGACGACACATTAGATGATTGATATGCATTGATATCTGTCATGAGTTGCATGTATTGCATGATTGTTATGATGATGAAGTGTATGGTGTTTGACTTCATGTTTAATGAATGGATGGTTTGATTGAGATAGAAGTTCCTTTGGGACTTGAGTTGGACGCATGTGTAGTATAGATTTTTTTCTGTACTTGTATGATTGATTTTTGAACTCTAGCTTACCCTTCTATTTCCATGTGGTGGGACTGGAATGATCATACTTGGTATGGGAGCAAGTCAAGGATAGCTTGGAGTTGAGATGACTGCTACGAGATGGGGAGTTTGATCCTCGTGTTAGAGTTACCATTTTGGGTAACGGTTTTGGTTGTGCTTGACCAGCACTTGGGAATATTATTTTTGGGATGACTGTACATATATGGTGTTCTATTTTGTATACAGAAACTTAGTTATTTTTATTCTTACCTATACCTGTATGTATGAGTTATCCAGCTTAATATTTCTCTTAATTTGCTAGTAGTAGTGCGATTCCACTAAGTGTAGAGACCATGACGGGTCGTTACACCTTTATGGTATCAGAGCCGGTCGAGTCTTTTGGATACTCTGTGGGGAGTGATCCTTCTAGGTTTCTGTTGTGTCATATCTTTGATATGTGTTAGTTTTGGTGATATATGGTGGTATAGTGTTACTAAAAGAATGTTTTGGATTCTTTCAGTATGGTGAGGCCTCAATATGATCAGATCGCTAGGGCCATGGAGATGATGGTCATGGCGATGCAGTAGCAGAGTGCTCACTTTGCTTAGATGGAGGTGGGTAGAGCTGCGGCTAAGGCAGCTAGACCTGTGGTCTCTCAGGATGGGAGAGGTTTAGCAGAGTTCAGGAGATGTTAGCCTCCTAAGATCAAGGGGGATTCAGATACTGATGTGGCAAATCAGTGGTTGAGCGAGATGGAGAAGATCTTCAGTGTTCTAGGGTCTTTTGAGGAGAGGAAGTTGGCCTATGCAGTTTACATGCTGGTAAGCGAGGCTGAGTACTAGTGGAGAGGCACCAGGCAAATGATGGAGAGCAGAAGTGTGGTTGTAGATTGGGATTGCTTCAAGAGAGTTTTCTTGGAGAAGTATTTCCCAGACAGCATTAGATACGCTAAGGAGGTGGAGTTCATGAGACTACATCAGGGGAGCTTGTCTGTTTTTGAGTATGCTATGAGGTTTGAGCATCTGACTCGTTTCTACTCTCAAGCCATATCTGAGGCTTGGAGATGTAGGAAGTTTGTAGAGGGGTTGAGGCATGAGCTGAAGAGGGTCATAGTCCCTATGTCCATGGTGGAGTTTCTTGCCTTGGTTGAGAAGACAAAGACTGTTGAGAGATTGGAGGGTGGTGGTAGCAGCGGCAAGGCTACTAGAGTTCAGGAGGGATCATTTGGATCCAGGAGGGCTGGCCAACAGAGGGGACCCTATGACAAGCCTGTTCAGTCTCAAAGGGGTGCTGTTAGTAAGGGACCTCGTCCTCGGTGCGATGCTATAGATGTGG